CCCGCCCCTCCCTCTCCTCTTTCCAGATCTCATTCCTGTTCACAGCCGTTCCGTCCGTTCTTCTATTCATCTTGTTCATCGCCGTGTGTACCATGACAGGCTCTGTGCAAGGCATCAGGGCCTTTCTCAACCCCAGGTGGTACAGGCTGGCTTACTTCAAGGTAAACACCCATAGACATAGACACACATAGACAGACACACATACAGACAGATATATTGGTAGACAGACAGACACACAGAGAGACAGAATGACGGAATGACCGACAAACAGACAGGCAGATACACTAACAGACAGGATCTGTGCAGGGCATCAGGGCCTTTCTCAACCCCAGGTGGTACAATCTCGCTTACTTCAAGGTAAACATACATAGACATAGAAACACACAGACAGACACACACAGAGACAGACATATTGGCAGACAGACAGACAGACAGACACATACACAGAGAGACAGGATGACAGAATGACCGACAAACAGACAGGCAGATGCACTAACAGACAGGATCTGTGCAGCACATCAGGGCCTTTCTCAACCCCAAGTGGTACAGGCTGGCTTACTTCAAGGTAAAAACACACAGACATAGAAACACACAGACAGACACTCACACAGACAGACATATTGGCAGACAGATAGACACACAGAGAGACAGAATGACAGAATGACAGACAAACAGACAGGCAGATACACTAACAGACAGGATCTGTACAGGGCATCAGGGCCTTTCTCAACCCCAGGTGGTACAGTCTCGCTTACTTCAAGGTAAACATACATAGACATAGAAACACCCAGACAGACACACACACACAGACAGACATATTAGCAGACAGACAGACACACACACACACACAGACAGAATGACAGAATTACCGACAAACAGACAGGCAGATGCACTAACAGACAGGATCAGCTGTGCAGGGCTTCAGGGCCTTTCTCAACCCCAGGTGGTACAGGCTCGCTTACTTCAAGGTAAACATTCACACATACAAACTTACGCACAGACAGACAGACAGACAGACAGACAGACAGACAGACAGACAGACAGACAGACAGGCACACACATAAACAGAGACTGACAGATGTGCACACAGACAGACATTAAAGGCAGATATTCAGAGACACGGACAAACGCACAGACAGAAAGCCAGAGCATTAGGGTCGTTTTCCAGCCAAGGTGTCATATGTATATTATGTTGGCTTACTTCAAGGTAGACATTCACACGCGCGCGCACACACACACACACACGCACACATACACACACAC